GGGTGTGTCTATGAGCCAGACAAGTTTCGGAGAATTCCACTCCTCATCAGTGACCCTGGACACTACCACCAGTGAAAAATCAGATTAAACCAAGCCTTCATACTAGTGAGGTATCGAAAATCAGTGTAAAACACGTAAATACACCAGTTTGATTTACTGAATTTCTTTCTCAAAATACATCAAATGTTGTTGTTTGGTAATCGAGTATGTGATATCCCCCTTTTTGATTTTCCATGTAGCATTTCCTATTGTAAAACATGATGTTTCTGTCTGTCTGTCTATATATATAATTTCATGTTTGTTATAACAGAGAGCTGACAGACAAACAAGATGTATGAATCAGGCTCAATACCTAGAATTTTGTGAATCTCGGAGAATGTCATTCAGTAAGTTTTTTTTATTTGAAAGATTTTATAAGTTGTGTTTTTCAATTATTTTAATCAAATTTATTGTCTGCTTTGTAAATGTAATGCTTCACTGTTGCCTTTAACTTTAGAATTACTAATATGGTTCCACATGTTTTTTAAACACATTCTTCTAATCTAATTGTCTACCAGAATTGTCTGTGGGTTTATCATTTTGTTGGTTACAGTGTCACAAGTAACAATCGAGCTCCACAGAAAAATTCAAACAAAAATTACCACTAATAATGTAGTTAGTCCCAATGCCTACTACTGCTGGAGCTCCTGTGTATTTTACATATAAAATGAATGATTTCATCCAATTTGTTGGTCAGTTTTTTCTACACTGAGTTTTGTGATTGGCAAAAATATAAAATTGCTCAGTATGATGCAGTATGTGTAGAAACTCCTAATTTAACAACTGATAAGTTCTTGTGAGATTATCATAAAGTTACAGCTACATGAATAATACTGACCAGTTTCTTAAAATTATGAGGAGGATTTGTCTGAAATGTTCCTGTGAATCTTTCTTTTCATGTATGACAGTAGTTTGGTATTTACTAATGTGTGAAAAATGATTGACAGAGGTAAATTATTCATAAACTTCTAAATTTTTTTTATGAAATTTTAAGAAAATAGCTGAACATTATTTTTTTCTTTTCAGACACCATTTAAAAGATTGTTTTCATTTGAGGAAAATAAAAGAATTATTATAGTATATTCTGTATATGTCATATATGTTCCTTTCTGTTGATTAAATATGTCATATATGTTCCTTTCTGTTGGTTAAATGTGTCATATATGTTCCTTTCTGTTGGTTAAATGTATCATATATGTTCCTTTCTGTTGGTTAAATGTGTCATATATGTTCCTTTCTGTTGGTTAAATGTATCATATATGTTCCTTTCTGTTGGTTAAATGTGTCATATAGGTTCCTTTCTGTTGGTTAAATGTATCATATATGTTCCTTTCTGTTGGTTAAATGTGTCGTATATGTTCCTTTCTGTTGATTAAATGTGTCATGTATATATAGTTCCTTTCTGTTGATTAAATGTGTCATATATGTTCCTTTCTGTTGGTTAAATGTGTCATATATGTTTCTTTCTGTTGGTTAAATGTGTCATATATGTTCCTTTCTGTTGGTTAAATGTGTCGTATATGTTCCTTTCTGTTGATTAAATGTGTCATATATATATATAGTTCCTTTCTGTTCATTAAATGTGTCATATATGTTCCTTTCTGTTGATTAAATGTGTCATATATATTCCTTTCTGTTGATTAAATGTGTCATATATATTCCTTTCTGTTGGTTAAATGCATATGTTTAACATGTACTTATCACATAATTCTCTGTTTCCGGTGTTCCAGTATAGCATTTTTATCGTTCTACATGATCTAAAGTTTTATAGAGACAAGCAGATATTTAAAATTCTTATTCTAAATTACAATGTAAATAAGCTTACATTGCTTGACACGTAAGCTACTGAAAGCTGCAATAGATGTTTCCGTTGTATTACAATGATTTTGTTTTATTGTTAATTCAATTTCAGAGTAAAATGTTTACCTGCTGAACAAATATTGGTAGTAGTATCATATAAACAGTTATTTGTAACAGAGCTGTCTAGAAGTAAAATTTCTGTTTTTAACTTTTAGAAAATATTTTTTTAACTCAAATTTTAATTTTCTTGTAGACAATTTTAGCTACAAATTTACTTCTTGGTTTTTCTTCATAAAAAATTACATTAAAAACGCATTTATTTTCTTTCTATATTATACTTCTCTCTCTCTCTCTCTATATATATATATATATACACACACACACATATATATATATACGTATATATAATAAACCTATAAGTTAAAGTACAATTGCTAGGGTTTCCCCTTTGCTTTGTACCAATATTGAATCTGTGTAATTGTTTTCTTTAACAAACAATATTTGCTAGTCGTATCTATAACCTTATGCTTTTTTTTTATCTTCAGGTCGAAATTATAGGAGTACCAAATTTCGGGACTGGCTTCTCAAGGATGGAGTAACTGATATGAAACCTAATGCACTGGCTTTAGAAATCTTTAACTACCTTGCCTATGAAACTGTTGCTCAGGTTTTGTGTTTCATATTGTATACATCATTTGAAATAAGTTAGCTCAGTAGATTTATTACTGGCTACTGTCTCAGAGAGAGACAAACTTAATTCCACTCTGTGTCTTACAAATGTACGTGTGTATATAGGTTTGTGTGTGTATTTACATGGCATTAAATTTCCATTAATAATGTTTGATGCAATTTTTCACAGTGGCAACAAAAAGCATTTCAGAAAGGTAAAGAAAAATATTAAGTTGAAAAGAAGGGCAAAAGGAAACACAAAATCCTAGAACTTCATTAAATGTTTGGTATACTAAAATTTTATGCCTTTAAAGAATGCATATTCATAACAAATGTTTAGTGCTTAGAATTCATATACTGGCCACTTCTTTGTGACCTTCTAATATTGGTTTAAACCACCTTTGGCCCGGACTTGGCATGGTATATACTCTATTAGAAGCTGGGAAAAGTCTGTTTAGAATATTAGCTCATTTGTCAAGAAGCTTGGACTGCAAGTGATTCACAGATATTGGCAGAATATTTATGATATGGTTTTGGTAACTGAATGTCAATTGTTGTCATAGTTTTGTAGTTTTAGTTTATACAGTTACCTAAGTTTAATTATTAATTAGTCTTTAGCTAATCAGCTGCTCTTCAAGGAAATCTTGAGAAAAACTGTTTCTGTGTAGTGTGCTTTCATGATAGAAGTATGGTGTGTTATATCCACTTGAATAGGGTCTTCCCCCATTAGAATTTGAATTGAATTGAATGTTTTCAAAGGAATATCCAGGTTTTACTGACTTCTATGCTAGGTTGACTGAGTGCATTATCAGTTATATGGTTGTAGAAGAATTCTTTTATCTTTTGTATTCTCATGTTTGGTTCATAGTCTATTATTTTAGTATTATTTCAATTCATCATATGGTCTTCTTCTCTGGCATGATGGACTATTGGAAATAGATTGTTATTGTAGTCTTGTATGTCTATTATGCTCCTGAACTCTAACTCTTGATGGTCAATGTATTGGAATCCATATTCACAGGAGATACTATAAATGGTGTTTCTTTCCTCCATTAATTAAATTGGATCTTTAGGCAGTTTAGTGTGTTCTAATTGCATTCATATTGTGTTGTAGCTTCTCACTAATATTTTATCTTTATGTTGTCTACATATCCTCTGTATAATTTTAGAGAGAACTCTGAAATAGGGGAATATGGCTGTATATTTCTAATTTTCTTCCTTTTGTATTCTCTGTGTTTACCTTCTTTATCAAGTGTTCTGGGTATCCATTGTTCTTAGCTTCTTCAGCATTAAAGTCTTTTTCATTCTGTAAATAAGATAACTCTTTATAATGGCCCACAATCCTTTATAGAAGACTCTAGGTTGTAGTATTCTCACAATGCCAATAAGGCTTAATATTTGTTAGGCCCACCTTAAACTCAAATTAGACCTATGTCTGTACTGAAATAAAGATAGAACAAGGATAGCGAACCATAGTGACTAGTTAGTCAGGATAGTTTATGATAGGAAATATATGTATACTAAAAAGAGAGAGAGAGAGAAGGAAGGAAGGGAAAACAATAACTGAATAAAGGGGGAAAACAGAAAAGAAGAAAAAAGTTGTGTTTGTTTTGTAGCTCTTGTTACTGTATACAAAGTTACCACTTCATAAGATATAGATTTTAATTACTGAGTTATCAACTGCCAAGTTATAGGTAATAACAGAGTTAGTTTGTTTTATTACAAATAGTGTTACCAAGTGTTCAGCTACAAGCATAAGTACAGTGCTACTGTATGTAAGATATAGATGTAGTGTTTAGGTTTAATTACAATTAAGAGTTACTGTGAGTTGCATTATAAGTACTTATAGAGTACTAACAGTGGATTAATTACACTTCTAATGTTAGACTGAGATTGAGTTTAGTTTTAGTACATATATATACAAGAGACAGAAACTAATGTATTGGAGCCGAGTTGTGTGCAACATGAAGGTAGATGAATCTCTAGAATACATGATTAATGGCCAACAGAATTTAGATGTGTAAGGTTTACTACATAATGCCACACACATATTGGGTAGGTTGACAGATCATCAAGTGAAGAGAACACTTCACACTCTGTTACTAGAGAGTGGAAACAACATGGAGATGCCTAATTAGTGGTTATAAGCAGCTGATTGGCATAAGGTCCTACACCTGGGAAGCTTCACAATGCATACTCAAGCGAGGAATGTAAGCCCCATTTTAATAGTCTTCTGGCCCGTGCCTACCAGGTAAGGGTGTACAGGGTTACGAACAACAGTTCTGAAAAGTGAGTAGTCAATGTATTGCCTATAAACAACAATAACTTAAAAAGATGCACGCAAATGGTGCCCTCAAGAGTAACAGAGTAGTGTGGGACCTCAACTGACCAGCAAGAAGAAGTAGAAAAACAGCTAAACAAGACCTAAATATCAAGCTGACAAATGATGCATGTGTAAAAAAAGAGTAACAATCAATCTCACATTATGACCGGTTACTGCAATGTCAGAGGGATCAAGTAAAGCAAATGCAGTTTTAAAGAGCTCTCTAAATTCTATAGCATCACACTATTGCAAGAGAGTAAACTCTCAGACTTTGAGGAGTTCACTCTCACTGGCTTTATCTTCATACCACCTGCTGAACCAGAGGGTAGAAGGACCATCATTTGCAGAGCAACAATATTCTGCATAAGGCTGATGGAGCATTTAAATTTACCAGATGCAGCAGGAGAATGGAGCAGAAAGCTATAAAACAAGCTATCTTTTGGATTCCTGAAAGCAATAAACTAGTGATTGGTCCCCAGATGGATGGCAGAAAGCAAATCAACTGGATGGTAGGATTGTCACCTGGACATATGTTCAAGGCCATGCAGGGGTAAAGCTAAATGAAGAAGCTGACTAACTTGCAAAAGAAGCTCCTATACCATATCTGGCACAACTCTACTGGCAGGATATCAACCTTCTCTGCTCTGGTAAGGTAAAAACTGCAACCATGGAAGATCTTCATCAATATTCAGAGGGAATGAAACTGTAGGAAAACAAAGTATGATGTATCTAGGAAAAATACAGTGAATCAATAGGATACTATACGTCCACCAGTAACATCAGTGAAGAAACTCTCCTCTATGTCCTGCAAAGCAGCTGTACTTCATATGAGGGATCAGCACATGTTGATGAAATTATTGGAATTGTCATCTAGTATATGACTCAACTCAGCTATAAATTAGGCAGTCTATGATGCTTTTCTTTACACTGTTAGGGTGATATGATCTATAGTCAAGGTATTAATTCATATCTTTTGTTTTTTGCAAACTCCTGTGATATATGAGTTATTTGTCTTAGTAATTATTACATCAAGGAATAGAAGTTGTTGTTTTCTCTGTTTCTATTGTGAATTTTATTGCAATATGTTCTTTGTTCAGGTGTTTCTAGGATTTTTGAATCTTGTCTGTAGTGCATGACCATATTATGAATATATCACTAACATATCTGAGCCAAATCTTTGGGTGTAGAGCAACTGTTTCGAGGGTGTTAACTTTGAAATGTACCATGTAGAAATTACTAAATACATTTGTAATAACAAATGTATCATCAATGTATCCTAGCCAAATCTTGAAGCATATAATGGCTGTTTTGACCGCATTTACTTCAAAGTATTCCATGTAGAGGTTATTGAGTACATCTTGGAAGAATTCTTGTTTATGAAAGTGACAAATGTAGTAGAGGCATACATGATCAATAGCAGAGATCGTGTACACCCTGGATGTTATTTGTCTTTCAAAACAAAAATCAAAAAGGCTCAATTCCTGTCATGAAAAACTTATCTACATAATTACATTATTATCAGAGTTTCTACTGTTTGAACAACACCAGCAAGGTTCAGCTGCCCTATGCAGTTTTCTTCACACTTGCATTCTATTATCTGTATTAAAGAATGTTGAAAATTGGCTAATTAGACTATGTCACATGCTTATATAAATCCGTTATCAAAAGTTCTGCTCTAAACACCACTGAAATCATTCTTTGCTGTGTGCATATGAAATAAGTGGTTTTAAAACTAGTTTTTCACTATTTGACTGTTTTGGTGACGTCTCGTGATATGGTTGGAGATGGTTAAATTATTATTACCACTAATGATGAATCATTAAGTTGGAAGACAGTCTGACATCTTTTCCATAATAAAACTTTTTGATTGCCAAATTTTTCTCTAATTGCAGTCATATAATTTGTGACTTTAACTATTGACAGATTCTGATGGCCAGTGTCTTTGATCATCCTATTAAAGGATCAATCTTTATTAACAATGTTTCTTTTAGATAGACATTCCCTACCATGCTCCTATGAAAGTTAGATAGTTCCTTTCTCTTACCCACTGTCTTGCAGATTAGCCATGATATAATTACACCTCTGCATGCAGCACCTATGGATTTATATGTGATCACACTGTTGAAACAGGTGCTAGGAAACTGTTGTTCTCGTACACCAGATTAAATTGGAAAGCTAGCAGGGAGGAGGGGTGGGCTTTGGACATGACAGTCTTATGCCAAAGCCTTTTACAACAGAAACTACACAGGGTTATTGTCAAGATTCATGGTTGCCAGATTGAGTATGACAAGTTATGGTGACATAGAATGTAATGATATGACGAGGCTTTAAAAATCATTACAGTATAATGTACTTAACCTCTGTATTCCCTCATTACTCTAAAGACAGCAGATATGTAAGAATGGGCAATATAAAAACATAGTGTAATATAAATTGTTAAAAACATTTTTTTAAATTGTTTTACTGAAGAGTTTCCTCTTTAAATAGATTATAGATTTAGCTCTGCTGGTTAAAAAAGATGCTGAAGGAGCTTCTGGAGATCCAGTTGATAGGTTGATCCCACTCAATGTGAATAATCCAGAATACCCAAGTATTCAGCTAGGATTTCATAATTCGGGAATGTCTCTTGGAACCGCTTCAGAATCTCCAACTCAGGCAAGTTATGATATTTGCTTAATTCATTTATATTATTCTTGACAAAGTCACAATTATATTAGAAGAGAGACAGAATAATGTTTTGCTAATTAGTGAAGGCCAAAATAATAAATTTGATTTTGTAGTTTTGATGATAGAAATATCATTGTTTACTCAGATAGCAGTTGCCATAATGTACTGTATAACATAACTTGTCATATGTCCTAAAACTGTCTTCTTTCAAATACATTTATTTATAAATGAAACTTGTCAATTACTCTACGATATATTTGTACCTCACACCAACTACATAAGGAATTTATGTGTGGTTGACCGTGCTGTATGTATGTGTTACATTATTAAGATTACATTATATTAACTTGTTTATTTCTTTCTGCTTTCCCATGCTGTGCCTCTAAAGTGTTCTTTTTTGTAATTTTAGGGTTGTTCACCATCTCCTACATCCCCAGCTTCAAGTAGTTATGGTAACCAGAGTCCAGGAAGCAGTGGCTATGGAAAACCTAAGCCAAAAAAGCAAAAGAAGGTTTTATTTGGTTTTTGCTCTACTTAACTGTGTATTTTTAATGCAATAATCTATAATGATTGAAATGTTTAAAACTTTCTACACCAAGTAATTGCATTTTATAGCTATTAAAATCATCGGTTCATCTATATATAGACTTAACAGCTCATAGAAACGTTTTATTTTATGATTTTTTTTATTTCAGAAACTAGAACTGTTACTCTTGTTCCTTGTCACATTTTAAGCAAGTCTTTTTTGTATGATATTTTCAAGGTTGTGCTATTTGCCTTGAGTTGAAAATTTATTTTATCATTTAAGATGTATTAACTATGTAAAATATTAATATTTTTAAGCATACTTACTTTGCTAGCTCAAGTATTATTGCTATGTTTAATTTATTTGTTTGTGGAGGTGAGTTTATTATTCAAGTTAAAAAAGTCAATAGGTGATCTTTTTTTCATGCTGATAAACAATTACGTAGTGAAGGTAAATGATAAAACAAGCTCAATGACATTTAGAACAATATAAGGGTTCAAAGGAAAAAACTTAGTTAAGATTAAAAACTAAGTAAGTACATCAGTAAATATAGATACAAAAAAAGCACCAAAGGGTCAGAAAATGTATGAAACAAAAACTAGAGAAATATTGAAATTAGATTATTTTATGAAAGTACATTTTTTATTAAGATGGTAAGGTTAGACGTTTAATTGAAAGGCTTTCCTTTTGTAAAAGTTGTATGTTTGAGCAACCTGCATTTGAACTAATTTACTCAGAAAACATTCATTACTGATGTTTTGCATGTCTCAGTGAATAGTAGAAGGACAGGGAGATGATAAATTTTGCTTAATTCTCAAGAATATCCTTTTGTATTTATGGATACTAACAGTTACATCTGTAGGTAGACTCACAGCTGACAGTTATGAATAAATGATTCATGAACGAAGCTAGCTTGGTATCCAGTCTTTTGACTGATATTGTTTTTTATGTGATATGAAGGCTTAGAAACAACTCAGAGTTGAATTTGGGCATAGTATCTAAGTAACAGCATAAGATAATGTTTAAGTTCATAGCTCTGCTTTTTAAAGTAAGAAAGACTGAAGTATGAGGGACTCAATAAGACAATAAAGATAAGTATGGAAACAAGTTGAATCCAAATGTAACGATTATATTTTCAAACCTCCAACTAGAGACTCTTTAAAAATAAAAAAGGTAAACAAACAAGGCTGGAAATAGTGTTTACATTCTTTTCTCAAGCTACAAATCCCTATTTTTGACTCCATGTCTACAGTACTTATCAATTTTAGTAGAGTCAAAATTAGGGATTTGTAACTTGAAAAAATAATGTAGACACTATTTCCAGCTTTGTTTTTTTTACTTTTTCTTAGAGTCCCTAGTTATAGGCTTGAAAATGTAATCTTTGCATTTTGATTCTATTTGTTTCTGTATTTTTTATGATGCCTATTCTCTTTTTTAAATTAAGAATTTTTGATAATTTTGTTTCTTAAGTTTTTTATGTCCATTTATGGAGAATAAATTTTAAGCTTCATACACGCATTCAGTTGAATGTTACATGTTTTTCAACAGTTTGCTGTTACATTGGCTTTTTTTTCCACCCAACCACCACCCTTAACTTATTCAAAACATATAACAAATGTTATAGCAAAGAATAAAGACATGTACTGGTATGCAACTACAACAAACAGTATACAGCTAACTTTTGTGTTTGTCTATATATATATATATATATATATATGTGTGTGTGTGTGTGTATCTATATACATATATATTAGAGAGGTCAAAACGATGTTTGGATCATGGTCCATAAAGATATCTTAGAGAGAAAGGACAAAGGTTTTTCTTAGTTATAAAAGTGAAATTCAGTACGAATGAAATGATCGTAGCTAACTAATTTAGAAATGATAGTACTTGATTTTATTGAGTAGGTTGATTGAACTTCTCGAGGTGCTTTTCCACCCATCATTTCTCATATGCTCCAGGAGTTTCGTACGTAAGCAAATTATATTACTAGCACTTCGTATACGATTATATTCAACTCTCTGTCATTTAATTCATGATTTAAGCTTATTTTCCAAAGCATACCAGAAATATATATTACTTCGTGGAGGAGGAGGAGGGAAATAAGATTCTAAATTGATAATCCAAAAAGAGAGAGTTATTGCTGAAATGAAGAAAGAGGAAGACATCAAATGCTTGTTTTTATTAGTTTATAAAATGGCTGAGAAAGCTGATAAAAGTGGTGAGCTTAAATGTCTGAAAAACTTAGATGATTGTCATAGAAAGATAAATATGAAGCTGTTAGTAAGCAAGACTCACAGATCCAAAACTTGTATGAAGATATTAATTGTTTGTTTGTTATGAATTTCGTGCAAAGCTACACTAGGGCTATCTGCACTAGTCATCCCTAATTTAGCATTGTAAGACTGGAGGGAAGGCAACTAGTCATCACCACCCACCACCAACTCTTGGGCTACTCTTTTACCAACAAATAGTGGGATTGACCGTCACATTATAACATCTCCACGGCTGAAAGGGCGAGCATGTTTGGTGTGACAGGGATTCGAACCCACGACCCGCAGATTACGAATCGAGCACACTAACCACCTGGCCATGCCAGGCCCAAAATATTAATTACTACAATATTAATATGAAAGAGGATATTATTCCTGTGAGAATTAGTGACTATCTCTTGTGGAAGTACTACTTCTACTACGGATATGCTTTTGTTTGAAATTTAGAAACTTTAAAATACTTTTGGAGCTTCACCACATCCAGTCATGCTCTATCTTGTAGCTGTAAATCTTGACAGTAGCCTGAAGCATGGTTTTCTTAAAGCTTTTATGTCAAGTACCCACCACTACTCCTTGCATGCTATCTATAAGTCACCTATTACAGGTGAACACCATTTACCTAGCTTCCACTTGAACAGCCTGATTGCATAGAAATCCATAAGGCCAATGTCTTCATATGGAGTAACACAAATACCCATTTCATTCTTCAGCATCTTTTAATGTTTGAAGTATGTGATGGTTGAACAGATGTTGTCTATCACACCTGGGGTACGACTTGTTGCAAGTCTGTCTGGATGGTTCTGGTACTCCAACATGATCTATATGCTTTGTTTTCCACTGCTTTTGAGTACAAGGACATCCTCATATAGGAAATTCTAAACTCCCGATCTGAACATATCGTGCATTAGGAATGGCTGTTGCATTCCTTTTCACATAAGCAATCATCTTTTGGTGGCATCACACTACCTACAAAACACCATACAATGTCAAAATGTAGTTTTGATACATGATCTTTCAGTGCAAACTTATATTGGCTGTGTTTGTCATGTGACAAGCTGATTTTCATATTAAAATCATTTTTAATGTAACATACTCAAGCCTCCTCTGTATTTCACGAATATTTTGTCATGAATCAGTTTTTAGTAAAGTGGTTTGAATGTCTTGAGATTGTGTTACTGAAAAAAGAGCTTTGTAGCAACATAGTAACAGGTATTTCAGGTTTTAACTGCATCATGATAAGATAGATTTTAATAGGAAGAGGTCTTGGAAACGTGGATGAAATAAGTCTTGAAAATTGCTTGACAGTTTCAGAAATTTGTTTTTTTTTAAAGGAATATGAACCCTAAATTAACTGTAGTTGAAATTTATTTTGAAGATCAATAGTCTATTACAAGTCTTAACAGTTGTAACAAAGTAACCAAATGATTGCATTACAGAAATGCTAATAACGGATTGTCATTTTATGAAAAAAAACATTTATGATGGATTTGGTATTTAAATCTCAAATAATAAATTTCTATTAATATATTATATATTGCTTTATATTAAACACATTTGTAAACACAACCTTATTTTGATGATTAAAAACACTGACTAACATGGACCCAAAAGGAGAGATGAGTGATAAAATGTTATGAGTAACAACTGATAACATTCGGTGACGAGGAACCCACTTTGAGACTAATAATGGCTGGAGACGGCTTGAATGGGTAATGAAGAAAAACTTT